CACCATCACCATCACCATCACCATCACCATCACCATCATCAACGCGCCGAGCCCTGCAGAACAAACAAAACGAAGTTCGTCGGGGCGCTGCAGGTGTCGCTGCTCGCCATTGACGAGGGCATATTCGAGGTGAAGGCCACCAGCGGCGACACGCACCTGGGCGGGGAGGACTTTGACAACCGCATGGTCGCGCATTTCGTCCAGGTGCGGCATTTGCTTTCGAGTTTCCGCACGCGATCCCCCTTCCGTTACTCCTTAACCCATTGCTAAAACTAATATACTAGAGCTGTCTCTTTTTTACATCTCTGTTACAGCTATTTTTTTTAAAAGCTCTCAGACAACCAACCTCTCTTCAACAGACATAAAATCTGTTATTAAATATCAACAACCACGGACATACATACAAGACGACACGTGTTTGAATGCCCCATCCAACCGCTTCCTAACTACCCGGTCAACTAGACCCAACAGACCCTTTCTTGATGTCCCGCCCCGCCCCCCCCCCCTCATGGCGAACTCCATGAAACACACAAAACACACAAGCACACCCTTGTGCACATCCCCCCGACAGGAATTTAAACGCAAGAACCACGGCAAGGACCTTAGCACCAGCCCCCGGGCCTTACGCCGCCTCCGTACGGCATGTGAGAGGGCAAAGCGAGTGCTGTCCTCCGCCACACAAACCACCGTGGAGCTCGACAGGTGGGTTTGGGGGTATTGGGGGGGGGTCGGAGGGGTTCGGGGGTAGGGAGGGCCGGGGGAGGTTGATTGTGTGTGTTTTTGGGGGGGTGGGCGCATGATTGGGCTTGGTCTTGAAATACGAAAGGGATTTCCTGACACCACTTCAGCGATATCTTTTGTCGTACATTTCTTCCCTCCTCGGGCCCCCATTCCAACTTCCCTCCCCCTCGCACGGCTCCCCCTCGTGTGTGTGCGTGTATGTGTATGTATTTATGTACGTATGTCAGTCTGTACGAGGGTATTGACTTCTACGCCTCCATTACCCGAGCGCGATTCGAGGAACTCTGCATGGACCTCTTCACGAAGTGCGTGGAGCCCGTGGAGAAGGTAAAACGGCATGCCGTTCTTACGGACTCAAATGCCTTTTCTGCCCCTTTCTCCCGTACACCTCAAAAAACACACCCACGCATACACCCCACACACATACACGCGCCAACCCACCCCCCACACACATACATACATACATAAATTCTCCTGGACTATCCGTCTATTTCTGGTATCTGCTTCATTCGCCAGTGGTTCGTCGTAACACCCCCCCGTGCATGCAAAACACACACGCACACACACACGCACACACACAGGTGCTGAAGGACGCGCAGCTGGACAAGTCCGCCATCCACGATATCGTGTTAGTGGGGGGCTCCACTCGCATTCCCAAGGTACAGCAGCTACTACAGGACTTCTTCCACGGCAGGGAGCTGTGCAAGTCTATCAACCCCGACGAAGCTGTAGCGTACGGCGCTGCCGTACAGGCCGCCATTTTAACTGGCACGGGTGGTAGCAAGATTCAAGATCTGCTTCTGCTGGACGTAACTCCTTTGAGTTTGGGCATTGAGACGGCGGGGGGCATTATGGTGAGAGGGAGGGGTCATTAGCATATACATCATTTTTATGTAATACAAAAAAAATAAAAGTACATCATAAGTATGTAAATTAACCACAGTAAAATATAAAATTATATAATATATATAACGAATCAAACAACAAACACAACGGGCGAGGCACCCACAGCATAACACCGCTTCAGAAAGGAAGCAATAGAGGGCGCCCCCCCTTAATATTTATAATATTATAATATATATGTCTGTATATATGTGTATAAATAAATATGTATATACACATAATTATTGTGGTTAATCCTAGCGGGGGGCGCTATTTTTTAGTGCTTCATTGTATTAATTGTTTGATTTGTTATTTATGCATTTTGTCTTGTGATAGACCAGGAAGGAGATGCACTTACACGCCCCTCTCTCCTCCACTCTCGAACTCTCTCCCCCCCAACTCCCTCCCCAGTCCGTCCTGATCACCCGCAACACCACCATCCCGGCACACCGGGAGGAGGTCTTCTCCACCTATTCCGACAACCAGCCGGGAGTGCTGATTCAGGTCCTTTGGGGGGAGCGGGGGGAGGAGAGGGGGGTTTAGGGAGGGAGGGAGAGGGGGGTTAAGGGGGGGAGGGGGGTTAAGGGGGGAGGGAGAGGGGGGTTTAAGGGGGGGGAGAGGGGATTTAAAGGGGGGAGAGGGGAGGGGGGAGGGAGGGTTAAGGGGGGGAGGGGGGAGGGAGGGTTAAGGGGGGAAGGGGGGGAGGGGGGAGGGGGGAGAGGGGAGGGGGGAGGAAGGGAAGGGAAAGGAGGGAGGCGTTTAGTATTTGGGAGAGAATATAAAAGGAGATTTTTTAAGAGGTACTTTAGGTCTGAAGCTGGTGTTAATGTTAGCAGTAAGATTGGGCCTTCTCTCCTAGAGGAGAGAGTGTAAGGAAAACACACACACTCGCACACTCGGGTTTGTACGGGAACGAAAAAAGCAGTACAGCAGCAGCCGCATATACGCAGTGAGACGGTGTTCGGGACCTATGTTGTGTCTCGTCCGTATCCCCTGATGTGTACGACGCCCCAACAGGTGTACGAGGGCGAACGTGCTCGTACACGCGACAACAATTTGCTGGGCAAGTTTGAGCTCAGCGGTATACCTCCGGCGCCTCGTGGGGTGCCTAAGATTAAGGTAACGGGTTTTTCGGGGAGGGGGGGGAGGAAAAAGAGAGGTACGGCAAGGTGGCTGCAGCTAACATCCTGTCCTTCCTTCCTAATCGTCTTCTATATGTAGAAATGATAAATGTTCTTTTTCCACAAGGTACCTTTCAAGTTATGTACTATATGTGTGTATAGCGGCGCGGTAAAGCGGCAGCCGGCGCTACTAAACGTAATCCGAGGTCAGACTAGTCAAAGCTTTCGAGCGCCGTTCCCCAGCCTTTCCTCCTCTCCCCCTCCCCCCCGGGGGGCCTTATCTCAATGCAGCCTGTGGGGTTTTATGTGCACTTTGCCACATCATGTAACCCACCCCCACCCCCACCCCCATCCCCACCCCCACCCCCACCCCACCTATTTGCACTCGCCACGCCCTCTCCCCCTCTCGCACACAAATACATACATACACACAAACAGGTGTCGTTCGATATTGACGCCAACGGGATTTTGCACGTGTCCGCGGAGGAGCAGGCCACCGGTACGTAGTTATTGTAGTGGCGGGTTTTAGGGTTTTAAGGGGGTGTGAGAACGCGAAAAAGGGCGGGAAGAGCGTGCGAGGAGGAGGGGCCGTGTGTCACTCACTACGGGCTCCGGAGCCACAGGTTGCCACGGGTTGCTACGGTACGGCACGGCACGGCACGTACCCCCACATTCACACCCATCACTTTAATAACACAACAATTGCACAATAACTTTCCCGCCCTCGCGGCTATCCACACGCTCCTCCTGCACATACCCCCCCCCTCACCCCCCTTTCCCCCCCCCCCCCCCCCGGCCCGTAGGCTCGTCCAATCGCATCACCATCACAAACGACAAGGGCCGCCTCTCCGCGGGCGAAATCAAAAAGATGGTGGAGGACGCGGAGAAGTACGCCCGAGAGGATGATCAAGCCCGCAAAAAGGTACGGAAGGACCGGGGGCAATGCGAGTACACACACAACGCCGTACCACACGCACTCCTCTCGCCAGGCCAAAAAAAGCGGTTGGTACGGCAGATGTATACAACTACTAAGGGTGTGTTGTGACCGGGGACAACAAAGCCAATGTTCATTCCAAATTAATATTTAAAAAACAGCAAAGATAGAGGTTGGGAGAAGATAGGATGTAGTTTCTTCGCCACCGTTCACCTTCCATCACACCTCCCTTCACAGCTATAAGCCACACACATACACACGTCACACACACACGTCACACACACACACATTACCCTTAAAATTACCCCCCTCGCCCCCGACTTCCCTTCCCCCTGGAAAGGTGGAGGCACGCAACAAGCTGGAGGGGTTCCTGTACGGCATCCGTAATAAGCTACGCGAGCCCGGTGCTGGCGACCGCCTCACGCCGGAGGAGAAGCACACGTTGGACACGACGCTGGACGAGGCCCTAGGGTGGCTGGAACGTAATCAGTTGGCGGAGGTGGAGGAGATGGAGCACAAGCAGCGAGAGGTGGAGGAGGTGAGGGGGTTGGAGGGGTGTGCGGGAAGGGGGGAGGTGGTAGGCGGGTCTTCTTCGCTGGGCGGGAGGAGGAGGAGGTGGGCTTTTAGGAAGCTTGTCGCCGTGTGTGTCTGTTTGTGTGTCTGTTTGTGTGTCTGTTTGTGTGTCTGTTTGTGTGTCTGTTTGTGTGTCTGTTTGTGTGTCTGTTTGTGTGTCTGTTTGTGTGTCTGTTTGTGTGTCTGTTTGTGTGTCTGTTTGTGTGTCTGTTTGTGTGTCTGTTTGTGTGTCTGTTTGTGTGTCTGTTTGTGTGTCTGTTTGTGTATCTGCAGATGGGCAAAATAGGCCCTAAGTAATTGCTGGCTCGCGCGGAGACGAGAACTGCTGGGTTGTCTTTCGCATTTTGCCAATGCCAATTCAAAATGTGAAGTACAGTAAAGACAGTAAAGTATAATCGCTATCGTACCTACTTTTGACACGTTGTCGTACTTACCTAACATACCCAAACCACTCTACCCCCCCCCGCTCCATGGACTCTCGCCCCCTGAAAATCACCCCGCGGTACGGCACTGTCAGGCACTGGGCACCATCCTGTCCAAGGTGTACGGCGCCGGTGGCAGTAGCGGGGGTGCAGGTGGTGGGGGTGGGGGCGCCGCGGGTGGCGGCCGGCCTGTGGTTGAGGAGGTAGATTAATAAATACACACACGCACGCATCTCGCGTCGTAGTACCGAGCATGGGTGATTCTCCGTTCTTGGAGTACGACTAATCGTACCGCTACAGGCCATGGTCATTCCCCAGTGTATTCACGTCTGGGAATTAAAAAAGCCATATGACTGTGTGCCATATGAGTGTGTGTATTTGCTGTGTGTGTAAGGTTTGGGGTGGGGGGAGAAGAGGGTGTGTGTATTCAGGTTGATGGGAATGACGGGTGGACGTACGGCGCTTTCGGGATCTGGATTCAATAAGATCTGGATTGAATAATAAGTCTCTTTTAACGTTGTTGTTTATGATGGTTGAAGGAAGTAAACTTCTTATTACGTTTAAAAGCACTGATGTCTGCAAAAATTGAGTTTTTTTTAGCAAATTGGGAACTGTGTTTCAAAACTGTTGGTTTTGAATTGTTGTTGCGGTGTTGTACCATGGTTGTCTCGTGGCGGTGTTGTACGGTTATCACGACGCTGTACGACGAGCGGTGTGTCCGTCGGATACCGCCGCCGCGAGCTGGCATCAAAAAACCGCTGTGGGGCTTCCCCGGCGCAAAATGTATATGTACAGCTCCGTCACCTCTTCCTCCCCTCCCCTCCCCTCCTGCGATTTTCCAGACGCATCAGGCAGAATCTTCTCAAGAAAAAAGCTTCAAAGCTTCAAAGCCGTTCTGTCTGACGCGTCTGAAAAGTCGCCACCTGTTAACATCCTCAGACATACACACACACCGACAGTAACATCCTCAGACATACACACACACCGACAGTAACATCCTCAGACATACACACACACCGACAGTAACATCCTCAGACATACACACACACCGACAGTTTATTGAGGAAGGGAACAAATTCCTGATTCTCTAATTGAAGGAAGCCCTCCACACGCGTTCATTAGCTATACAGCCAAGCAAGAACTCGTTTCCCTGTGCTCTTCTCCTCTTTTGGCGCTTTCCCTATCTCCTTTCCCCCCTCTTAAAACACACACACACACACGCACACGCGCCGAGAGAAAGACAGAAACACAAAATAATAACAGTCTACCGAGCAGGGTTCGACACCCCGTACGGGGCCCGTAAGTTTTTGGCCTTTTTTCGGTATCCCCGTCAGGGCCCGTAGGACTTTACAGTGGCCCCCGTAAGGATTTTGGGGCGTGAAGCGCCCCCGTACAGGGCCGCCCCCGGACCGGCCGAAGGCCGGTTACGGGGGCCCCCGTAAGGATTTTAAGGATTTATAAGAGGCCGTACGGTACATATTCCCATGCTTAAGCTGCCGAGCATGCTTCTCATGCTAACGGCGGCTGGGCTTCCGGGCATCCACTTCAAGTACAACCAGTACCGCTATCTCGTCACAGCTATGCGCGCTCTGAGCGAAGTCATCCTTGCCGCCCAGCTTGTTCGAATCCGTGAAAGCCCATTCTTTAGTATTATGTCAGATAACAGTACGGACGTAACGGGTGAAGATCATGTTGAGGAGCAGAAGGGATGGGCGGCCAAGGCGCTTGGCTTTCACCGAGTGTGCCGTGTCCCCGAGTGTAATGGTTCACGAGAAAATAACGAAAATAACGATTTACAGGGCAAAAAATGCAAAGCGTCACTTTCCACAGCGTTTCAGCCAAGGACAGCGCCCCCGTAAAGGTTTTGTGGGGGTTACGGGGGGCCGCCGTAAGGTTTTCGGCCGGTACAGGAGCCTGGTACGGGGGCCCCTCCGTAAGGAAAATTTGGGAGGTACGGGGGAGCCCGCAAGTTTCAGGAAGGTCAGTGTCGAACCCTGCTACCGAGACATAATTATAAAGCATTTGAAAAACAGTCACACGGAGAAAGAAGAAATGTACGACCCAATCCACGCACCCCCAATCCCCTCACATACATACACTCCCGCTCTCGCCAAATGCACATTGCCTTAAATAAACCCCCTTCACTTCTTCCTTGATACGTACATACATACACACATACACACAAATACACAAACACATACGCACTCATTCACACCTTTTCTCCTCTTCCTTCCTCCTCCCCCCTCCCCCGCCCCCGCAAGGACGGCCCCATGCCCAATCCAGGAGGTGCCGCCTCTCCGCTCCCCAACTTACAACCCCCCAGCACAGCCGCCACAGCCCGACCCAGCTCCCCACTCCCCGCCGCCAACACCCGCCGTGACATAACGTGCCAGGGGGCCCCCGCGGGGTCCAAAACCGTGCCACCAGCCTCCGAAACCATCAACGCCCCCGCCGCCGCATCCCAGCACCCCCCGAAATTGATTTCGAAAAACACATCACATCGCCCCAACGCCACGGAACACAGCCCCAGAGCGCACGAGCCCGTGCAGCGAACGGAGCGGGAGAGGGCGGCGAGGGCGCGCATGCGGCCAAACATGGCGTCCAGGGTTTCACTGTCGCGGGAGGTGCCGACCTGTACGGCGGTGTACGGCGGTGTGTATGCGGGTAATCATATGGTGCCAGAAAGCCAACAGAATTCACTGCCCATCTGCCGGCCATAGCAGGGGGACCCTGACGTGTTTTCACGTGTGCGTATGTATGTATGTATGTATGTATGTATGTATGTATGTATGTATGTATGCATGTATGTATGTATGTATGTATGTATGCATGTATGTATGTATGTGGCTTTATTTTAGGTGGGGCGGGTCGAGGAACGGAGACATGGGTAAGTGGGCGGGGAGTAGGAGGTATAGGCATTGCAGCAAACTTCAACGGGGTACTTATAGGGTTTTACACGCCTTACTCCCACCCCCTCAACACCCCCCCACCTTTCCCCCTTTCCCCCCCATGCCGCACATGTCCGGAGTTACTTCCTTGACTTTGCATCTACCTATAAGCAGTGTTTCCAATCTACCCGAAGCTTCATCCCCCATCCTATACACACCACCACACTCTTACCCCCCCACACACACACCACCACCACATACACACACGCGCGCCCCCACTTACCTCCGTTCCCACCACGGCCCCAGCTAGCTGAGTCCGCCCAGAGGCCGCCAGCCGCTCACCGTTCAAGTAGGCCCCCCCGCCTTCAGCCGCCACAAACAGCTCCTCCAGAACGGGGTTGTACACAACCCCCACAACTACCACACGGCCAACGGCCAGGCCGATGCTGTTTTAAAAAGAGGAGCGCGCACGGGTGCATGCGCGTGCAAGTGTGTTTTGTTGAGTGCGAGGGAGGTGAGGGAGGTGGGACTGGGACTGGGAGGGGATTGGGGCGTGTGAGGGGTGGAGGGGAAAAGACCACGAACCACGAGCGAGTGAAGGTGATGGGTGCCAAGGGGGGGAGGGAGGGGAGGGCACAGGGGAAAAAGGAAGGGGGGGAGAGGACTGAAGCTATTGCTGCTGTGCTGCTGTTGCTGAAGCTGCTCATGACTCTCGCGATGAGCGATGGACGAGCGGTGGGTTTTACTGCACCCCGGGGGCCCCCTCCCCCCAATACACAACGGGGACCCCACGGACGGCGGGTTGTCGAAGAGCCGACCAACCAGGATGGCAATGGAAGGGCAATGCGGGGGGAGGGGGGAAGAGATAGAGACAAGAGATAGAGAGAGGGGGGGAGGGGGGGAGGGGGGGGAGGGGGGGAAGCTCCTAACCCTCACCTCCTCCTGCCCCGCCCACCCCCCACCTCCCTCGCATCGCAACACACGCAAACACCCACCTGGTGCACACGAAAGGAAAACCATGTACGAAATTTGTCGTACCTGCACGCAAACACATACGCACAAAGACACACACGCACAGACACGCATGGACAAGGAGCAGCAACAGCAGCACGTGTACCGCGTTCGTACTGAATATGTATGTATGTACGACAGATCAACCTATGCAACAATTAATGACGTGCCCCCCCGAGGACCACTGCCTCCACCACCAACCCTTTTTCTTCCCTCTCTCCCCCCCCCAAAATCCGTTCCTTACACCTCCAAAACCCTAAAATAACCTCCAAACCCCAACCGCCATAAGCGCCTACCCTGTGACCCCTCCCGCCCTCCCGCCCTCCCTTCCGCCCTCCCTCCCTCGCGCCATTTCCCTCGAGTCCGCGTGCACTGGACCCCATAACATAATGTTGCCTGACCCTCACAGCTATGTCTATGTCGTATTGCACGCCAATTCACCGTTCCCTGTTTCTTCAAGGAGGAGTAGCCTACTCCTTTTTGGAGGGCAGACCTCTTTCCCGGCCTGCCCTGCTGGCGCTGCTCAGCCCTCAGTCCTTCCCTCTCACCGTCCAGCGGGTCCACCATCCAGGTGGGGGAGTCGCCCAGCTGCTCCGAAACCCCCCCGGTAGCTGCGGCTGAGGACTCCTCGCCGATGAAGTGGTGGTCGGGGAAGGAGCGCCGGATGCGGTTGAAGATGAGGTCCTGAAGGAGAGCGGTGGAGGGGGGCCAGGCGTGTGGTGTGGTGTGTATGCGTATGCGTATGTGTATGCGTGTGGAAGAATATGATGTAAGCATGGCGGGAAAGGGGAGCGTGCGTGTTGGGGTGAAGGAACATGGTTGACTCGCCTGAGGAGAGATTTGAATGGGGCTGTGCAGGTCGGAGAGAAGGGCGGCGGGAAAAGGGGGGCCATGTGGAAGTGAGAGCGGAGGAAGAGGGCAGGTGGGTAGACGGGTGGGCTCTCGGTTTCGTGCAGGGAGCAAAAGCTTAGCTAAAATAAAAAAAGAGGTGTAAATGAAACCTCATGATTGCAAGCCCGGGATAACTTTATTAAGCAAAGAGGAAAAATTACTAAAGCGGGTGGGACGGAGAGGCTTTGGGAAACAGTGGACGAGATGGATTTTGAGGCGTCGCAGCAACCACCGCCAACTCCCCTTCTGGGGGCCACAGTCGCGCATCATCATCATCGCGCAACCGCGCCATGTACCTCTGCAGCTTTATCCGTTGCCGTCACCAGGTCTGCATGGTTTTGCTTTTCTTCAACTTTTTTGGGTTGCTTAAAAGCGTGCCTGATGATTTCACCAGCCGCTAGCGCTGCATCAACCGCTACGCTGATGTAATCATGATATTGGTGATCTAGAAGAGGAGTTGGTACGGACTTATACATCGGACTACCGGCATGCAACAAAGTTCTTCTGTGCAGTGTACAGTCAAAGGGCTGTCAGCCAGGCGCGCACAGGCAAAGAAAGCTAGACTAACAAGGGAGGTTGAAGTTACGCGGTTGCAGCTTCCATGATTTGTGTAACCTTTGCCAATTGCAAATGGCCGCCATGTCGTGCACCTTTTTGCACGAAACCCGTAGATCCGTTGCGGGTGCCGACAATACAACTGTACTCAATTACTCCATAATCAATTTTTACTAGTTGCAATTGCTAATCTAGCATAAGGCGGTTTACATGTTAAACGCGCGTGTCTTTGGCGAAGGAAGATGCGTGCAGCCTGACGATGACAACGCAAAGAAGTCAGTTTTGATGTTGTTTCTGTGAGTGCTTGCTTCTTCACCCTCTGTAATAGATTCCGCTGCTTTCTTTTGTAGAAGCGGCAAGCCTGCTGGGGCTGCCGGACCGCTTCGTGGCAGTGGAGATTGAGTCTGAGGTATGCCTGTTTGCATTCAAAAGTTTGATCTGGTGTTTTGAAGCTTAAAGCAACCTTTTGATTGTAGGCTCCGCTGGCGTTTGACGCCGCCCAGTACTCCTTCTTCGGCGACCTCTCAGCAGCCGAGACTGGCCTAGAAGGGGCTCTAGAGGTGCGGTGCGACCGTTGCACGAGCGAAGCCAGCGGTCGCGGACTGAAGCAGGCTGTCGGACGATCTTGCAGGACGGTCTTGAAGCTCCACCGCCTGAGGAAGGTCTCTCGAGCCAGGACTACTGCCTACATGCCGCTGAAGATGAAGGCTTGCCCTTGGAAGAGGAGGAGGATTTGTCGGTTGCGTCTATTTTTCGCAGCCAACTGGGTTTGGGAGCAATTGCAAAGACCCAAACGAAGCCTGTGGACCCTGACGACGACGCTGGCCTGGACGCGCTCTTGACGGACCCACTGGCTGTTGCGCGAAAGCAGGTGCGTACACACCTTGTCCCCAACCTTGTGCCAGCGGACGCGTATTGCACCCCGCCGCAGCGCCACCCACGCGCTTGCAAGCAGCTCACACTTCCAACTTACCTATCCCAATTCCTAACAGCTGTTCCTCTCACATCCCACATCCACTTACATCCTTGCCTTTTTTGAGCACACTGCAGCTGCGAGATGACGATTATGACCAGCGGGAACTTCCCTCGGAGCTGTTCCCTGATGCGATGTCGGTATCGAGCGCAGCAGCGGTAGCCCAGTCCCCCTCGCTGTTTGGCGTCACGTCCAGCTCCTACACCTTGTTCGACGGCTACAGCACCAACATGCTTGGCGGGGCCAGTTGTGGCCCCGACAACGGCATGCGGCCCGGAGGCGCCAGCGGCGCATCATCCTTCGCGACAGCGCAGCAGCAGCCTTCACTGCCTTCACTGCCTTCACAGCCGCTCATGCCACAGCCTTCGCCACCGTCGTCCAGCTCCGCCGGACCGTCGCTACTGCAGATGCTGAAGAAGCCGTCTCAGGCGCCCCGCAAGGCATTGACCCTGGAGGAGCTCGAGGCGCGCATGTTTGGCACCGCAGAGTTCGCATCATCGGCGTCAGGGGGCCCCAAGGGGGTGCTGCAAGCGCCTGGCGCTCCGATTGCAGATGCGCCCGGCGCCGCGGTTCTTGTGTCAGGCGGTTCAGGCGGCATTGGACATGACACCCGGGCGGCCGCAGGGCCCTTCCAGCAACAGCAACAGCAACAGCACCCGCAAGGGTCGATAGCGCGACCGCTGCCCGGCATGCCCGTCAGCAATGCGGCCACAACGCAGGGTCCGCGGTTGGGCGTGCCAATGGCAGCGGGCACGATGGGAGCGCCGGGCGCGTTCCCGGGCCAGCTGCAGCCGCCGCCTCCATCGCCTCCCGGGCCACAGGGACAGACGCCGCAGCCGTTGCAAGGAACGTCACAATCGCTGCCTCCTCCGCAACATCACCACCACATGCACAGCGCAGCTGCACATCACGGGCCCATGCAGATGCCGCTGCAGCCGCTGCCTGGTGCCCCCGGGCCCGGACTGTTCCCTCAGCCGCACGTCATGGGTGGAGGTCACATGGGCGCTGGACCGCAGCCCTCCAACTTCATGTACAACAACAACAGCAATGGGATGTTGGCACCGCAGCCGCCCCAGCACCACCACCAGCACCCGCCCGGTCCTGGCATGCTGCCGCCTGGCGCCATGGGGTCGCCGCAGTACGGCCCTGGCGCGCTGTACGGCCCGCCACGTGGCCCCATGCCTCTGTACGGACCCGGGCCGATGGGTATGGGTGGCCCGACACCATACATGCATGGTGAGCCCTGGCGCTGCATCGGTAATGCGGTATATCGGTCTTGCGCTGTCTTGGAATTGCATTACACTTCCTGTGCTGGTTTGTTTTGCCAAGAATACACGTGCTCGTTCCACATGCTTGCGTCGACCTGCCACTGTTAGGTCGATGCCGTTGTGAGTCCGTGTGATTCACACCAGTTGCCTGGTGTGCCCCTTCCATCCATTTTGCTTTCGTCCCGTGCGGATAATCGCGGACCATGTTGGCCAGCCTTTGGTTCCGACCCCGACGAGCCTCTTTCATGTGTGCCTCATTTTTTCCTTTGCTATTGACACAGATGGCGGCTTTCCAATGCGGCCCATGGGTGGCCCGCCGGGCATGCCTGGCCCGATGCACGGAATGCCGCCGCGCCCCGGCCCCTTCGGATATGGTCTGGGACCCGCACTGGGCCCTGGCGCGGCACCTGGCCAGCAGCAGCGCCAGCAGCAGCAGCAGCAACAGCCGCAACAGCTCGCAGCTCCAGGGCCCCAGCGGTCGCCCTTGTTATCAGGACCGCAGCTGCCGCCGGGCAGTGGGGCGCAGAGGACCATGCCGGGCTTACTGGGTCCCGGGGGTGTCCCGGGAGCCCAGCGCCCAAGCCAGACACGCCAGGCTGTGCCTCCTGCTGCATCGGATTTTGGGCAGCAGGTGCGCAAATTAGTATTAGTGCTAATATTATGGGATGACAGGAAGGAGGGGGGTGGTGGTGGTGGTGTCCAGGAAAGTATAGGCTACCCTTGCTTTTTAAAATGGGGCCGAAGAGCCCCTGCCGATCTCTCTAAAGGTTGTGCCAACCGATCTCTAGGTACCTGGCAGGTGGCTGTGACCAGAACCTGCGGATGTGGTGCTCCTCCTGTGTAGGTAGTGGTAGTGGTAGTGGTGGCCACCCCAGTGGTGTCAAGTGCGCTGGGTGCACTGATTTGTGTGGGTGGGTGGGTGGGTGGGGGGATAGGGTTCCAAAACTCGGTCTCGGCAGCGGGACCTAGGACCATATACCAGGACACCTCTTGGGCCTTGGGCCTCTTTCCCACGGTCGATCTACGACGACGTGTGCTGTTCTTTAGGCCCCGTGAGTAGCCGCCTACCCTCATCTGGGTATTGCCGCTTTGTGCCGCCTCACTCGGCTACCGCCCTCCCGTCCGCCCTGACTCTTCTGCGACAGTTTGCTGCCCGGGCCAATGGCGTTCAAGGCGCGCTGGGGGCAGGTCCGGTGGCGCTGGCGGCGGCAGCCGCCGCCGCAACAGCCGGCCGCCCTGGCGGCCGTCTCGGCGGCAAATGGATGCCGCCAGAGGACGTCGAGTACATCGTACGCAGCTTGCTGTATACGGTTGCCAACGGTGTGCCGTACGTGGAGGACTACTACTACCAGGCCTTTGTGCACAAGCGCGTCTCCAGGTCGACGCGGCAGCAGCTGATGTCCCCCGGGTCCTTCCCCATGGCGGCCCCCTTCGTGCCTGAGTCTCTGCGGGAGCTATCAGAGGACCAGATGAGCCTGATGCGGCTGGACTCGAGCGTCAGGGCCAAGTTTGTGGAGGGTTTGCAGGGCCTTGGCAAGATTGTGCTGTCGAATATCCGCACGCCCAAGGTGCGATGGCCACGGGGGGGGGGGAGGATGGGGGGAACAACAAAGTGAGGCCCGGCGTGCTTGGGAGATTGGCGAGATGCGTGCACATAGCAGTCTCTCCCTTTCCCCGCCCGCCCGCCCGTCCGCTTGAGACAGGGGGTTTCGGAAGCGGCCGAGGATTGCTGAGGAGGGTTTTGTATCCATATACAACACACGGGCGAGAGGTGTGGTAGCTAGGTAGGAGTTAGGGGTCAGCCCAGCCAGTATCTGGCCGGCTGGGGCTAACGGGGTGGAAGGAATGGGAAACGGTTTGGCAGTGTTTGCCGTTGCTCTGTGAGATGTGGTGGCAGCTATGCGTGCCCCCTAAAACGCGTGGCCAGAAGAGATTGGTATACCAAGTCCATACACGTCGCGGTGCGTCATGGTGCGGTGCAGGTGCTGATGGACCTGACGGACCGGGAGTTTCACGGCGGTGGTGAGGCCAGATCGCGTACCGTGCCCGTGGCAGAGGGTGAGGGTTCGGCCGACGTTGCAAAGGTACGCGTCGTGGAACACAGAGAAAGGGAGGGAGGGAGGGGGAGGAGCGGGGGGTTGTGCCATGTGCTAAAGTCACAAAGGACCAACTGCTGTCGTCCAAAGCTGTCGTCCATTCCTGGAGTTCCGAAAAGCAACGACGCAACGCAACCGCCCGAATTACCTCTTGTCGCGGGAGGGCCTTGCCGCGAGGAATATAGCGGCAGGCATTCGTGTGTTGCGTACCACAGACAGAGACCGAGGAGGGGGGGAGGCAAGAGGAGGTTTGCACTGCTGCGCGGCTGCTGCTACCGTGCCGCTGCAAATCTTGTCCTCCTCGCCGTCTCCCTCTTGACGCCCATCCACGGGCGTGTTATCATTTATCGTTTTGCATACCCACACCCGCACCCACCCACCCACCTTTATCAGGGATCTGCGGATCAGCAAGGGCGCTGTGCCAGGCCACTGGAGCAGGAGCCCCTCCTGGCGGCCCGCATCATGATTGAGGACTGCATGAATCTGCTGCTGGATGTGGACGACATCGACCGCCTGGCGAACCACATAGCGGCGATGGCGCTGCCCATATCAGGCGGGCCCCCAGCCACAGCCGCCGTGGCTGCTGCTGTAGTTGCTGCTTCAGCAGCCACAGCCGGCGCGGCGGCCCCGGCGGCAGGCCTGTACATCCCTTCAGCCGCTGGGCCGCTGCAGCTGTTGCAGCTCCGTCAGCGGCGAGAGCTGCTATTGGCGGGTATTAACGGGGCGTTCCGGCTTCCCAACTCACCCCGGGGCGTGGCGGCTGGCAGCGGCTTGGGTGCGGACGGCTCCTTGGATTCGGATTCAGGGACGCTGGTCGGTGGGTCGTCGCCTCTGGGTGACGGTGTCCTAATTAGGATCCTGGCGCTCAGCAAGGGCCGTAGCGTAGTCGCGCGCACGCTGCTGGCCATTGCGCCGCCTGCGAGCCTGGTCGCGCCGAAGCCGGCGGTACCGTCAGCACGGCAGCCGCAACAAGCACAGGCAGGGAAGATGGCTGTGGCGGCAACTGCAGCCGCAACGGCAGCCGAAGGAGGCGGTAGGGCTGCTGCTCCTGCTGCTGCTGCTGCGGCTGCTGCTGCTGCTGCTGCCGGCGAAGAACAGCGTCCACAAGGCAATGATGCAGCAGCAGCAGCCGCGCTTGGACCCCACGCGCATGCGGACGCGCATGCAACCGAGGCAGGTGGAAGCCTGCTCGACACGGGGGTGCCAGGGCCTTACGTGCTTCTGTGGGCCACCCTGCGTAACGCCTGGTTGATCTTTGGCACCAGTCTCCAGCAAAGCTTGGAGGCCGTGACGGAGCGGGCCCTCCTGGAGTCGACAGCGCGGCTGGCGGCGGCGGTGCGGGAGGCGCTACTGCGCCTGCCCACTCAGCGAGACGTAGTGGACGCTGCGGCGGCGTTTAATGCCGGCTGCCAGCAGCATGTCGAGGCGCTTTGCCAGGGAAACCCGGCCATGACGGGCTCCATGGAAATAACCCTGCTTCCATTGGCACAGACGCGGGCGGCGGAGCCGCCGCCGTCACTTCCCTCGTCGTCGTCATCGCCGGGGACGTCGGTGGCGGCGCCAGCATGGCTTGGGGAGGCGCTGGCGGCGCTGGTAACGAGGGCCTCGCAGCTTGGACTATCGGAGCCGCAGCCGCGACCGGGGGATCGCGGTGTCGCTGGGGGTAGCGGTGCTGGTGCTGGTGCGGATGGTGGCGCGGAGGTGGTGGCATTGCCAGGAAGGAAAATCAGCAGCAGCAGCGGCGGCAGCGGCGGCGGCAGTCATGCGCTGGTAGAGGAGTGGCGGCGGGAGTATGGGCTGCTTTATGAGCGGCTGTCGCGCCACCTGGCCACACTCGGCGGCATTCACGAGATGGCGGCCGCCAGCGGCAATGCCGAGGCTCTGGCGGTGGTGCGTGCGCTCAGCTGCCCCGCACTTGTGAACGCCATGCTGCAGCACGCGTCGCCAGATCAGGCGAGTGAGCTCCGGGCGGCGGCGCCGCTACTGGGGCCATGACGAGAGGTACGTCCGTTCGATTGGTGGTTGTGTAGGTCGCTTGTGTTCCACAGCTGGGTTCTATTCCTGTGTATCAGAGGTACTTTGTTGTCGATCTGTGGGTAAGAAGTCCGGTACAGCCAGTTGGGACGGCGCTGATAAGCTGGATGGATGGTGAATGTATGTATGTATGTATGGGTGGGTGGGTGGATGTATGCATGGATGGATGGATGGATGGATGGATGGGTAGCGGGGCAGGTTCTGCGGGGAAAAGCTTTGGAAAAGTGTTGACTGGAGGTGGCGGCAGTCTTTTGGGGAAGTGCGGGACGAGGGTATGCACAAGTGGCGGGCATGCCGCGTTGCCCTCTCGTGCCTAGAGGCCGCGCGGAAAAGCGCTACTTAGTGGTGGGAGGAGGGGAGGGTTGTCAAATCGTGAAAGGGAGTAAGGATTGGGAGCAACATGTGTGTGTGTGTCTCTGTTTTTGTGTGTCTCGAAATGTGTCTTTTGTGTGTAGGGTGGGTGGGTGGGTCAGTGCTTGGAGTCTTCTACTACCTGTGGGACCTAGTAACGCATGGCGAGCGAGCGGTTGGGTGGGTGGCTGGGTGGGTGGGAAAGCCTCAGAGGCTTACTGCTCTACCATGGCAGTGGAACAGCTCACCGACATATCTTGGGAATGGCTTTGGTGAGTCGGCTAGTTCGGTTGGCTTGTTCGGCTGACTGGCTCAGTTGGCTGGTTCTTATAAGAGGTTTACATGCAGCTCTCTCTTATACGATATGAGCAACGGCTGTTTTGTGTACGGGTCTTTACTTGCTAGTACAGCCGGCGCCAGTGGGATGACTTGACATTTGTGTTCATTACCTTTTCTTCTCCCCCATCCGCCTTTGGGCGATGGCTTATTTACGACTCATCATCTTGGAGCCATATCCTCAGCTGATGACTTCTTTAGCGATAGGAAGACCGCCCTAACTGGACCACCCTATCATCAAACGTGGTTGTGTTCGGCGGATCCCAGGACGACTCGGGGATGAGGATGACGACGACGGGGGGGGGAGAGGGGCGTGAAGGACCTAAAGCTGAATGTAGTTAAACATTCTGTCTGCCTGGTTTGGATTGGGCTGGTAGGGATTCCAGGTGGTTGGGTTGCGGTTGAGTCCGTTGATGTTTGCATGTCTCTATGAGGCAGAGGCCATGAGCCTTGTCTGTCTGTCTGTGTCTGTCTGTCCCCGTGTATTTGTCTTTGTCTCTCTTTGTCCGCCAGTCGAGCACTCCAAACAATGTGCGGCTTGGCGAAAGCACGAAGACGTGTGTCGCATAATGCCCTAAAACCCTGTGTTATAGCAAAAGCCGCCATGCAGCCGCGGCAATTAATCACGGACACAGACGTTGCGCTCGTATACGGATACGCAGACGCACACACACACACACAGGCAGGACCGCGGACTCGCGTGTATTGTATGTGTGCCAGTACTTTCCGGTTGGGTAAAAGGTGCGTTGATGATAAGTAGTTCATAAAACGATGAGACACACAACCCAGTGTTCGGTCGTCGGTTCTATATGGGTTTCGTGCCCTGGACACGGCCTATTACAGTACAAATCCAAACATAAAAATCTCTCCGGACGTGCCCTTGCGCGTGTGCTGCAGTCGGCGTGGTGGCTGAACGGTGTGACTGTGACTCTTTGGAAATGGGCCAGATTAGTATGCAGTGTATCGCGGTGGTGCAGTGTACCCACGGGAGCGGCTTGGCGGTCGCCGGCATGTTGGGTCAGTCCATGTATGTGTGTCTGTGTGTGTGTGTGTGGATACACGCAAATCCAGGTGTGTGTGCGCGCCCGCCTGCTGGCTTCAGGAGAGCTTCCTGGAGTGGGGGTATTAAACCACAGACGACAGACCGTAGTTTTCCTCTTCCGCGTTCACCTTGCTGCAGAGCCCTTAGGATGCATTAATTGTTCGCCTTGCCGGCCTTGGACCATCTAGCGGCTCTTGGAGGGCTGTTGACAAAGCGTGATAGCCGGCGAAGCCTTGCCTGTTTTGTGTCTCAGTGTGTGTGTGTGTGTGTGTGTGTGTGTGTTTTAAAAGTGAACTGAGCCGCGAAGAGAAAAGTGCGAGGTGGGCGCTCAAGCACCGGCACCAAGCAAAAGGAAAACCCTGAGCCCAGCGCGTGTTGGTGGTGTGTTTTCTGTGTATTCGTTCTCGCTTGTGGGAACAGCTCAAACAGCTCGCGGCACCCATGTGCGTGTGTATGTATGTATGTATGTGTCTGTGTGTGTAACCGGATGCGATGGGATGTCCCCTCCCATCTCCCTCTTGGGCTATTCTATTAGGCAAAGGAAGGATACGTGACATGGCCATGGGTGCGGTGCGGTGGCATGTAGACTTGGTTTCACATAATCACCTGAGCTCATAATCTTTTAGGTTGGGTTTCCTGGGTTTCCTGAAAAACCCTAGACACGAAGCACAGGAGCATATATGCGTTGTAAGCTGCTTACTGCTGCTGGCGCGATTGTTTGCTGGCTTTCCTGAACCTGCATCTGCTTTAAATAATTATGTGTATATATATGTATATATATTGCTGCTGATCGAGACCGTTAAGGGAAGAGCATGGAAGCGAGCGCGCAAATGTGTCGCGACACCTTGGAACGCGTTGGTTTCGGATATTTTCGGAATGCCGTGCTCAGCTGGTGCGGTTAAAAGAAAAGCAAGCATGGCGCTATCTGCGTTTAGAAGAGAAGAGGAGAGCATATCTTTTTGAAAACGGCACCGGCCCAGGAACATAGTAGGAAACTGCATTTCGCCGTTGCAGCAAAAGGTTTTAAGGTACCCCAGCTGTACCCCAGCCAGATGAAACGGCCACAGAGGCAATGGGAAGCTGCCTGCGAGCTCCTAGGAGGGCGGGCTTTGCATAAACCTAGGACGACCTAGGACGACGTATTGTTTCAACAAGTTGGCAGCTTATTTACGAGCTGTTCTATGGAAATGTAGTTATAGCTTTCCACGTGTGTAATTATAGAAGACCTTTCAGGATCAGGATCTGTAAAACGATTCTGCTTGTACAAGCACAACTACGCCGACGTCCGTCAGGAACTTTGGCGGCCCTGCGGGCGGACGTAACCTGAAACGTAAATATGGATGGCGCTGGAGCGTGATGTGATGGAGCGTTAACTTGTTGTCGCCATAAGGACGAGCAGAAACAGTCTTTTAAGGCCGGCGCTTTCGCGACGAGAAAACCTAACACACCTTTTCCTTTTTTTCTTTCGCATGATAATGCGAAATCATGACGTACACAAAACCAGCCGGTAAAAATCTTGACTTAAAAATTAACATAATCCATCCGTCATGCAAAAAAGCTTAGTAGCAGGCTTTTACTCTGGTGTGAAATGACATCACTTATCTGTAAATGGGTTCTCATAACAACAGTGGTTTGCGATTGGCCAGTATGCAGTGTAAAAAAAATGTCACAGGATAGATGGACCTATCGATCCATTCGCAACGACGTCGTGTGACGAACACATATGGAGGGTAAATGAGAAGTGGGAACCGCAATTTTCAACTGTGAGCAACATTTAAGTCGCCCTTAAGGATGCCCTTAAAGAGACCCCGCCGCCGAAGGGCTAGCAAGCCGGGTACACGGTACCATCTTACCACAGTTACGCTCGTTTCAAAAAGCTGGATTATCATGTTTTGTGTTTGAAAAATAGAAGGGTGATCAGCGATTGCTACGGAGAAACGCGCACCTGCCGTGTCGCACCCTGCCCACCTCATGAAAACAGCAGGATCGGAAAATACTGCGTTACAACCTTCTTTAAACTCTAAGCCGTTATACAATCCCTTATCAGCGGACGATCGTTAGGGAGCTCTGGACATTTGAAAGGTTGTCCCTTTCATCAGCTGCTGACATTATTTTTTGCTGTTATAACCATTATATGGTTACATATAATTGACCGAGAGCCAGCCATAGCAAATGTGGCTGGGACGGCAATAGCTTGAAAGTGTTGACGTGGCAAAAAGTCCAATTCACACCCTCAACGGCAAGACGCGACATATGCACGTCACTAATATCCGAGAATGACACGTAAAACCTGCTTTTCCTTCCTCAGACGAGTTTGTCAAATTTTGGTGGGCCTACTTACAACTATTCCACCACGTTCGGCAATGACCAAGGGTAAACTGAAAGCACAGGATCCGAGCATAATAAATGTAGAACTTCAGGAATTAAATCTCCATGACGGTGTGTGGTACTCGCCCTGCCCGCCAAGATTGGTGTGCACGAGGACCGTACGTACGAACATGCAAAAGCCGGCAGAGGTGTGACTCACCCTAAAACCATTACAATGTTATCTATTAAGTGGATCGTTAGTTTTATTTCTAAAAGTATAAGATGAAGCTGATGCCGCGCACTTGGCCTTTCACGTATCAAAGTTGCCGCGACAACGAGCGTGCGGCGCATCCGCAGCAAAAAAACCGGCTTTGGCAGCGATGACTGAAACATCTGATCATTTTAAAGTCTAAATTTAAAAGCTTTTTCTTTTCACGGATGACGCCGATGCCGCCCCCGTTAAATCGCCGGCACCGGAAAATGCCATAGCCTCAGCCCTATTAAGCCCTATCATACAAGGGCCTAGGGGCGGCCTTCCATCCTCCATACATCCATCCCCCTATCCCGGAGGAACTGCAAGCAGCATGCGGGGGTGCACCGCTCAGAAGCCCCCAATGCCCTCGCTTGCTACGTGTTCATTGCGGTGTCACCATATTCAGCGTCTGTACAGCAGATGATCATCTCTGTTTTACATCCGTCTCCTCTCTTGAGTAACTCCACATATACTCGAATATCGCATCTGGTTCAGTATCTTAGTGAGCCACAGAGAATTGACGCATGGGAGTCGATGGACTAGGAAAGGAAGTAAGACGTACCAATTGCAGGACATCAACCCATATGACTTTAGAGATGTGGATCATCCACCTCGCCGCAGACCCAGGATAGTGATATAGTAGTATAAGAAGGCAGGACCTGAGTTGGTCCCCCGTGCGCTGCTCTGGTCCGATCTAAATGGCAAACCTGCTTGCGTAGGCTGGTTGCCAATTTAGCAAGCTTCCCTGGGCGCGAGATTTTTGGAATGCCGTACACTGCGCCGGGGGCCACGTAACCTGCCGTACCAGTCGTGATGTTGTGTTACATTGGCTTTGCGGTGGCCTATCGCAAACTGTCGGGGGGGAAAGTGAAACGCAATGGTGGAACGGAAAGGGTGTGTGTGTGTATATATGTGTAAAACTTCTGAAGGAGAAGGAAAGTGTCACAGAAGCCATACTGCACGGCAACGGGCAAGTAGTAACCCTCAGAAAAACAGAGACAGGGCAACAATATGAAACGCTGCCTAAAAAGGAAGCAATGTATGCTTGCTTGCAGCATTGCTACGGAGCGGGAGGCTGGAGGCTTGCGCGCTGGAGCCAACCGCTCGCCCTGCCCACCACTGCGAGAGACAGCTCACGTAGGGAGAAAGTGGGATAGCATGCGGTTCGATAGTGGAACCGGACTCTGCGGCGGCGGCGGCGTGCTTACGTTTTCCTGTGGCCGTGTCTGAACGGTGCTTGGGTGCTTGGGTTCTTGGGTTGGTGCTTGCAGTGGTAATGGTAATAGTGATGGATTTGTTTCGTCAAACTGGTGCTAAAATTAGGTAATCTAGGCATCTGCTGACCTTTCTTTGTCCCGCGTTTCCCGCGCGAACTTCGCTGGCTCGGAGCCGTTGCGACTAGGTGATTAGTTTCTCCTTAATGCCAGTCATACTGTTCCTAATAAAAATGCAATGAGGCCTTTCATTTTATCATGTTGTTTATGACTTCTGCCTTTGCTCTAGGGCGCCCTACGTAACCGTTCCCGAAAACAAAACCGCCGTACGTCGTGGACATCGCTAAGGACGGTATGGTCCCCTAGCACATGACAGCGTGGTATCTGAACTTACATACGTGTACTTAGATCTCTCAAAGTTATCTAAGTGTCAAAAGGTAACATGAGCGGCCCTTTGCTGACCTGTTTCGATTAACGAGCAGTTGGATGGTTCACCCTGAATGCAAACTTTTCGGACGGGGGATATCCAAAAAATGGCTAAATCCGCAAGCTTTTCCGCAATACTTTTGTGCGGGCAGGCAAGGAAGGATTGATCGCAGTTGGCATTGCCGTTGTGCGGTATATTTTCACATTTCATGATTTGGATAACTGCGTCAAGAAGTCAGCTTGGCACCGTAATCTTCTGGGTACATCTTGTCCGACATCAACGACGCAGTCTGTCTTCCCCGTACATAGCGTCCAGTTGACCTTGATACCAATACATAAGTCAGGTAAACTAAAATACGAAGTCGTGATGGCTTATTGTTAAAGCTGCAAGTTCTTCGAGGACTTCCACCTGAGAGCGCTGTCATCGCAAACTGGTTGAGAAGTAGGTTGGAGGACTTGAGGTTTTCCGAGCACCGAGCAGCCTTTGAACTTCCTTAGCATACTTGCCAAGAAATCTTGGCAGGTTAGTGCTGCAGTTGTGGTGTCCGGCACGGACAAGGGCATCGACGGCGAAGAACACAGCCAGGACCAAGCGGGATGGCGCAGACAGCGACAACAACGAAAGTGTGTTTGGTTTTATCAGTGCTAATGTTTGCCTTGGCCGACGCTTGGAGCGCACACAGTGAGTACAGTTATTACCATTGATCATGCTGGCTTTGGCTGCGCTATACGAACGCCTGCAATAAGCTGTTTCTAATTCCCCTATGCATAAATATTATTAAAATTTTATCGAACATGCTAAGACCTTGCTACTCGTTCGGCGCTATTGTGGCAGGCGCTGGTCGAACGCTGATTCAAGGCGCACCCCCCGAAGTTTTGGATGCTTCTGAAGGCAATCGGTTCGGCGTTATTGTGGATTCACCTTCTCCGGGCGAAGAGCGCAGACCGCTGTTGAAGCAAGCTGGCAAGCCACGGCCTCCTCCAACGTTGCGCATGCCTCCTAAACCGCGCCGACCGCCAAAGCCGCCTCCGGGCCCCTCACCGCCCCCTAGGCCGCCGCCACGGCCCCCCCGGCTGCCCCCTTCTCTCCCTGACCCTCTGTTTCCCCCGCCGCCTCCTCCCCCGCCGC